TGTGGTTTAGGACCCTAGCCGAGTACGCATGGCGTACACAAGGCAGGGACAAACCCTAATTTTTAGGGTTTGTGCCCTATTTAAACAACTTAAACCCCTTGTGGACATTCTATTGATTATCCTCCATCACCTTATACCCTAAAAACAAAACCTTAACTGCCTCTTGTGAGTTTTGAGCTTGAAAGTGAGATTTGGTGGTGTTTTAGTGAATGAAGAAGAAGAAGAACTCTTGGTGGTTGCTTGGGAGTAGCTTAGGCTCATAGATCCATATTCATCATCATCTTTACAATCCATTTGGGTTATAAAGTTCTCTACTTGATGCTCATTATGCTAGATACAGTTTCGGGACCTTGTTTATGCATTTTTGGGTCTTTTGAGCTAAAGTTTAGCTTTTGACCTATTCCAGAAGCCATTGATGTTAGATCTTAGCTCCATGGAGGGCCCTTGTTCATAAAAATGCAAACTTTATGATAAATATTGGTCCATGCATGTGTTAAGAGCCTTATTAAGCTTCTTTTTGAGTGTTGGGTCCCATTAAGTCATGCATGGGTGTGAAGTTGCCAACTTTACGTATTAAGTCACCCTTTAGAATCAGATCTAAGAGTTTGGTTGGATGTATTAACCGAATAAGTTCTTAATGGAGTGGATTGGTGATCTGGGGTGTACGTTGGGCGTACCCAGCTGGTACACTGCACGTACTAGCCCCGGAAGGAGTATACTAAGCGTGCGAGCTGAGTACGCCCCACGTACTCAACAGATGGACTCTTGGGCTTGACGTTCGCAGATTTGGGCCATATTTTGAGTTTAGGTTTGGGCCTTGTTGGGCCATTGGACTTCCAACTTTAGGTCATGGATTGACTCTGGGTTTTCTTAATATTGGGTCCATGATGATTTTTGGGCCCAATTTGGAAGTTGGGCCTTATTAAGCCTTGGGTTGCCATTTAGGAATTTAGGCCTTTTGAGTAATGGGTTGGGCCTTGGCTTTGGGCCAAGTAAGGATAAAGGGTAAAATGGTCTTTTACCATGTATATTGGACAAGTAACTTAAATCCTTGATTATGGGTTGTGATCCAATTATAAATTGGATGTTTATTTGATGATATTAGCGCGAGGATTTTCCAGACGAGCTGACTGAGATTTTATCCGAGTGATCCTGCAGTTTGAGGTGAGTCTCCTCACTATACTATGGGTCGAAGTCACCAATGTCGACCCATTGGCTTATGTATTATTAGAAGACCAAGGGGTAGCCCTTGGCATTTGTATGAAAGACCCGGAGGCGGCTCCTGGTAATTTTGTATGCAAGACCAGGGATCGGACTCTGGCAGATAAGTAGATAGTTAGTTATAGATTGTATGCTAGATGTCTTTGTGATACTTGCATGGAAGAGTAGGAGGTAACTCTTGGCACTTTTCTGTAAGACCCTGGGTTCTGGCCCCCGACCTAGCAAGTAAAGACCATGATACGGATCATGGCATAATGTCAAGACTATGGCTGGCATATAGCATTCTGTATTGTATGTATGGTATGTGATATTTTAGGGAACTCATTAAGCTTTGTGTTTACGGTTTATTGTTTATGATCTCAGGTACTTCCAGTATGAAAGAGAAGGGTCCGACATGACTGCACTGCATCCACCCATGTTTCCACAATGTGATGATTTTGGGATTGTACTCTGATAACTGTTTTATTATAAAATTCTTTTGAATGTTTGAATAAAAGATAATTAGTGTTTTGGTTAATTAAAAATGAAATTTTACCTTATAATTTTTGGAGTGTTACACTTAAGGTTAGAGGCACTCTGAAATAGGTGTAAGGATCGAGCTCCTTTAAAACAACCGAGATTCGCATGCCTAATTATGGAATACGACGACATGCACTCTTTTCTCGATCTGTTGTGCTGAACAGGGGAAGAAGAAGACAAATCTTTCGGTTTTTGGCAGCCTATGTCTCTTGGGTTTGGTCACTTGGTAGAAAAGCACCGGTCTAAAATTCTTTTTACTTAACTAGTTCCGAAAATTTACTAAATGCCCCTACACTTATATATCCTATGATTATTATTAGAGTTACCGAAATCGTCCCTATGGTTTGATTAAATTTATATGTTTGGTCCCTAACTTTTATTTTGCACTTGGATCGTCCCTATGGTTTGATTTTGTTGCGTTTTTCGTCCCTATAGTTTGGTCAAAATTACACATTTGATCCCTAACTTTATGTATGCAAGGGATGAAAAACGAAACAAAATCAAACCATATGGACGATCCGAGTGTAAAAGAAAATTTAGGGACCAAACATGCAATTTTGACCAAACTATAGGGACGATTTGAGTAATTTACTCTTATTATTATTATTATTATTATTATTATTATTATTATTAATTTAACACGTTTACATTTATTTAAAGCATTTTATTTAATTAATTCGCTTCCAAACCTACGATGATTTAATATTTATTTATAGAATAATTTGCATTATTAATTGACAATTTTTGAAAATAATTAAACGACAATGGGTGGTTTCATTTTGTGATTAACAATGGGCTGATGATGTGGGAAGGAAATCTCACTCATGGCTAAATTTAAGCTCAATAATTCATGTCCTTTTCAGCTAGAAGTGTAAGCAATAGTCTAGGCTTTTAATCAAATCAAGTATGTATATACAATAATTGAGTGTAGATTGAGAGAGAAGTGATAGGTCAGCTTTCAATTAATTTTTTTTTAATTGTATAAGAAATAATATGGTATAAAAAAGAGTCACTTTCTAGCATTCTCGATTTGCATGTCATCAATTTTGATATCAAATAATTTTTCCAAGGGTGGAAAATAATAGTTACGGGTTCAAGGATTTCAAAAATTCATATGGATCCCTCCAGTAAAATCCGTTTCAAGTTTCATGATTACTTTATTCTAATCCGATATTATGCGACCTTGAATAATTTAGGGGTTATAAATATATTGATTATGAAATCAAATATTGAGTTCAAAAATGTTCTTATAAATTAAAACTTATCAAATATTTAGAATTTCTTTTTTTTTAAATGAATTTATGTAATACATGGTCTTATACTTGGTTAAGACTATACGACTTTTAATTTGGCAATAGTGATAATTAATTTATCAATCATAAATCATAATTCCACGAGCAATGCAAGCTACTTTCCTCAATTGCAAACACTTTATTTATCCCCAACAAGCAACAAAAAGACTAAAAGCATAATCGAATGCCCTCCATTTAATTTAATAACTTATTTCTAATTTTTAATTTAAGTTCAATTCAGGTTAATTTTAGGTTAATCTTTTCTATCGCTATAGGTAGCCCAAGTTTCTTAAAAACCAGTTAGTTTATTTTCTCTTGTTTAACCATTCAAAAAAAATTTCCTGATTTAACCACTCAGAGCCTTTTTTTTTTTTTTTTTTTTTTCCTTTTTTAAGAAAAGCCTTGTTAGTTTTTTGCTGTATTGAATCGCAAAAAATAATCAGAAAAATATTTTTCTAGATGTTTAAAAAAAATCAAGTGCTTAAACCGCTGAACAGTTTAAATAATGTTTTTTTTAAATAAATAAACAAACTCTCTAGTCAAAATCCTTAATTACCTATCCAAAATTAGCCAAAAAAAAAAAAAAAAAAAAAAAAAAACACACATATTAGCCAAAACTAGCCCACAAAAGAGTGGGTTTTAAGATTCATCTACTGTTTCGTCATTTTATATATATATATATATATATATATATATATATATATATATATATATATATATATATATATATATATTATTTTGAAGATATAAAACCATAGATTATTTTAAAACCTACGGTTTTCTCTGTATAAACTACACTTTCCCAAACCGTATCCTACGGTTTGGGTAAAATCTACGGTTTTTTTTTTAACTACGATTTTGGGGGTAAAGTCTACGGTTTTTATTATTATTATTATTATTATTATTATTTTAATAGAGTTTTTTTTTTTAAAAGTTGACTACTTTTGTGTTAAACTTGACTACTTTTAATCAAAATAATTCTCAAAAAAATACTCTATATTAAAAATAAATATAAATAAAAACAAAACCATAGCTTTTTTACTAAAACGGTAGATTTTACCCCAAAAACCGTAGTTAAAAAAAATAAATAAATAAATAATAAAAAATAAAAAACGTAGATTTTACCCAAACCATATGGTTTGGGAAACCGTAATTTATACAGAAAAAGTCGTAGGTTTTAAAATAACCTACGGTTTTATATCTTCAAAATTTATATATATATATATATATATATATATATATATATATATATATATATATATATATATATATATATATATATATATATACAAAACACGAAATAGTAGACGAATTAACGAATCAGTAGACGAATCTTAAAACTATGGTTTCGTGGGCTATTTAAAGACAAAACCTAATTTATTTGCTAAATATTGTTATTCACTTCTTTCATTTTGTTGGATTAGTAATTAGCCCAAAGTTAAATGGTTTAATGGAATTGGGCCATGTATGTAAAATATTCCTTTGTTCTACAATGACCGCAAACTTATATTTTTTAAAGTTGATTCCCGTCTGATCTTAGTCTTCAACACTAGGTAGCCTACCGTTCAAACACAAAATAAAAAGATTTTGAAACCTAAACATTTTTGTTTTGTTTATATTTGGGTAACTTCTTTTTTTCTACACTTATTAGCATGGGAGGCTTAGAGGGGGCAAAGTGGGCAGCAGTACAGGATCCAATTTTTTTCATTATATATTTTTATTTAGAAATATAAAATTATAATAAAGATAAGGGCCTTTTTTTTCTTGTTCGTCCTGAGCCTTTAAGAATATTTCATTTTTCAGGACCGGCCCTGCTTATTAGTAACAAACTTATTGAAAATATTCACATGTGAACATTATAACCGGATATAACCTACTAAAGCTACCTAGATATGTGAATACTTTCAAAAAATTGGTTATCTTGATGTCTAAAAAAAAAAATTATCAAGATATAAACAAACCGAAAAATTAATTACCTTAATAAATCAATTTTTCTTATTTTATTTATATATCCAAAGAGCACTTGACATAACACAATTTAATTATATTGAGTTCACACGGATAGGCTAGATTTACAATGCACACACGATTCAATACATACTTCATAACATCTGGAGTGTCTATAATTTATAAAAAACCAAAAAATGAAATGCAACATTGAGCTTAAAGCTTACTACATTATCAACATGCCAAAACTTCAAAAGTTGTAGAAATCTTGATGATCACCTTCAAAAATTTCCACTTCCCCATCAAAGGCAAACATTATTTTCACCATTGCTTACCATATATATACAAACTGCATAAACAAAGAGAAAAAACATTATATTTAACTAAATAATCATTTATTAAAATAAAAAAACTACTGAATTCAAACTTATTAACTAATAACGTGGCCCACAAGAAAATTCAGACTTGGATCCTCAAATATCAATTATTTTAGAGACAATTACAAAATTGGTCCTTGTGCTTAGCTAACTTTTTGGTATTAGTTCAAAAAACAATATTTTTTTTTTGCAATTTTGGTCCTCATTTCATGGTTTCATTACACATTTGGTCATGGATCGTCAACTTTCACAACCCAGACGTTCAATTTGTGAAGGACCATTTTACCCTCACTTGTACTTTTAAACACTTAGTCTTGGTTAGGTTTGCAAAAAAGACCATTTTGCCCTCACTTCTAAGTTCTAACTATAAACACTTTGTCTTGGTTAGATTTGCAAAAAAAAACCATTTTACCCTCACTTCTAACTATAAACACTTTGTCCTGGTTACATTGTAAAAAGACCATTTTGCCCTCACCCATGTGTTTAACCTTTTCTCGAACCAAAAAGACAACATACCGATTCAATTTCAACCTCAGACAGCATAAAGCCGAACAACTTGATCAATCTTGGCACGACAAACGGGGCAACCCCAATTCTTCCCTTTGACTTCGGTCAAACATGACATACATCCAGCCATATGACCACATGGGATACACGCCCCTTCAACCGGTGCATCCAAACATATAACACATGTTGAAGAATCATTATTATTCTCTTTCCCCTTCTCACTAGGGGCAGAAACGGAATCAATGGAGGGGTAATGAATCGGACCATCATCATCCACCATGTCTGAAAGCGGTGGTGCTGATGGAACCATGGGTGGTGCAGTAGGGACAATTTGGGAATATGTGTTGTATTCTGTATGGGGATGATAACTAGTGGAAGTTGTTGCTTCATCATTGTTTTCCCATTTGTTTTTTTTGTTGGTTGGAGTAGAGTCGGGGTAGGTGGTAGGAGCCGTGGGTGTCGGTGTTGGCGGCACCACTGAACCGGATTGGAGGGTGGTGGTGGTGGTGGTCATAGCCAGTGGTGACTCGGTGTCAATTGGGGTTGTCTGAGGTGGTCCAATAGCTGATTGTTGGTTGTTGAATGGAAATGAAGGATGAATAACCTGAAATGAGAAAAAAACAAATTTGCTGATGTAAGCATTATGTATATATACAGATATATATGTATATATATATATATATATATATATATATATATATATATATATGTATGTATTATACCTGAGGGATTCCTTTGCAAGCATCGCAAAACCGTTGCAAGTTTTGCTTTTCGTTTTCGTTAACGGGTGCAAGTTTGATGCGTGACTCTGTAATTAAAAAATTAATTTAAGTTTAGTCAACAAAAAGTCAACTCGATACTTTTACAATAAAGTTGTGTTTGTTACATGGCTATTTTTGATGAGGACGAGGAGGGTATTTTAGTCATTTAAATAAAAGAGAGATCAAGCAGAGTCCTTCCCCCAACCTTGCTCAAACTTTTTTGGTGGGACAAGTGACAAAATTGTTGTTTTTGTTACATCGGTCACAATCCCACGTTTTAAATGAGACAAAAAAAAAATTGCAGCTTTTGTCTGATTGACATCTGTCCCAGTTCCAGTCCTATTCTGACATTTTGTCATGTCATATCTTGCATCAAATAGGACCTAAAGCTATTTACGATATTCTTTTTTTTTTAAATAATAGGCATATGTAATCACTCAAAATGATCATGAACATCTAATAAAGACAAAAATAAAATGGTAAGCTAAAAGCATATCTCAAGTTCCCAAGACATTTTCCTAGACAACAACAAATCATTTTCCTACATAAGTAATGATTTGGGGCTCCATTTAAAAATCTAATTGGTATTTGGAGTTTCTGACTAAAATAAAGTTTTTGTTTATGTGTATGAGAAGTCCAATCTAACTTAAACTCGATAAACTTACGCCTAACTTGGGAGTGTAAAATACATCGCTTCCTTCTCCAGCGTCTTGGGACTATATGAATATAGAAGAGAAATAAATAGTGTACAATAAATACAAATTCTATATTTCTACAAGTAATTTTTATCCAAAAGTGTCAAGAATTTACTGTTGGAGCTAGTAAGAACAACTGTAGGATCAGGTTGGTTAAAATTTGGTTCATCCATGTTAGCCTTCCATAGTGGAATAAGTGCACGAGGTTTCGCATCCTGTTTAAAACAAAATAAATAAATAAATAAAACATTAGTGTAAGATAAAATATTAATATTTGATTGTTTTTCGAGCTTTTTCAGGTTGTCAGTAGCGTTTTATTAAAAAGGTACTTAGACTAGCGTTTCAATGAGCTTATCGAGAGCTTTTTCGTCATTCTTCCAAATATACCCTTTTGTTAGTTGTACAAAAACCAATCTTTGACAAGCCTGTTTATGTCATTTTACATATTTAGCTTATCAGCTAGTTTTACCAAACATGAGTGTAGAATAAAATATTAATATCTAGCTTATGTGTCGATTTTTTAGGGTGTTAGTAATACTGTAATAGTAGCCTTTAAGATAGATTTTATAAAAAGCTACTCAGACTGGCGTTTCAAAGAGCTTATCGAGCTTTTTTGTAATTCTTCCAAATATACCCTTTGTTGATTATAAAGAAAAAAGAATCTTCAACTTGCCTTTTTATGTTATTCTACGTATTTAGCTTATCAGCTAGTTTTACCAAACATTGTTTTTTCTTAACTAGCTTATCAGTTTAGCTTTTCAGCTATCAGCTAGTTTGCCTACTTAATTCAGACAAATATATGATGGAAAAGACAACATACCTGTAAACTAGAATATATAGCAAGTTCTAACTTGAAAGGCTTTGTAAGTTTACGAGCTCCACATGGTAGTATAACTACCCATCTGTAAGTAGAACCATGTAATTACATATTATAAGTATTTATATAATATTATAATGATTTGGTAGTCTTCTATATACAAAATGTAATGTTACAAATTACAAAAGTGCAAGAGAAAATGAAAAGCTTACACTTTTCTTGAAAGTAGTTGAGGAGCAAGTAGTTCAAGAAAGCCTGGCCCATAAAGCTCATGCAGCCAACCAGAGAATAAGCAGATGTGATTCTAAAAGAATTGCATTAAAAAAACAAACATAATATCATTAATCTATTAAATATGAGAGATTAAGAAGATCAAGAGGAAATTAAAATGTGTATTTAGTATTTACTATTTAGTTATTTACCTCAATTGCACGAACAACATTGCTATATCCTTTGACTCTTGCAACATCAAGTGCAGTTTGACAGTCATCATTCATCACCAAGGCATTAGCTGAAAATTTGAAATGATTAATATCATGTAAGCAATGCTATGTAACAGAATGACAAGGGTATTCTTGTCTTTTGAGAAATCGAGAGTGAGTAGTTCCAAATTATTGGGTTGGACCATGTTCTTTCAAGGGTAAAAGGTGGGGCCTAACAAAAGTAAACAAATGTTAAGATATCAATGTTGTTATTGAAAAAGAAGCACATACCACCATGTGAAAGGAGTAGCTTAACCATCTGTTCTAGGCCTCTTTTTGCAGCATGATGGAGAGGAGTTCCAGCATGACGACCTGAGAAAAAAAAAAGTTGTTTTTTGAAGTGAGATAAGAGAATCTTCCAGAAGATAACAGATATAATGCATGTATCATATAGATTCATAAGCACATGAACAATCGTATACAGACTCTAAAGGGTACAAATCAGCTCACCTGGACGATAGCCATTTACATTGGCACCCAATTCAATCAAGGTTTTTGCTACATCATATAGCTGTGGATTCATGGAAGCTAATATCAGAGGAGTCTTTCCTTCTTTATCCATCCACTGCATCAGAAACAACAGATCGAGAATAGTTAATCGCATAATTTCATCACTAATTATTGCTACACTAACAATTACCTACTTCGGAAATCAAAATTTTACTTTTTTGTTTCCTAAATTAAAACTCCGAACGGGTGTACCATAAAGAGAATAAATACTCAATTCACCAAAAACGCATGTTAATGTCGATTAAAAGTGCTAGATCTGATTCTTGTAACAGAAGTATGCTTCAATTCTATAAAGGGTGCAGGGGGGAAGAAGACGACTTAAATTGAGACAAATGACCTTCAAATTGAACTCGGAAACTGTTCAATTCAAACCAGAAACCACGAATTTTACATGATGAATCAAATTTTAGGCATACCTCAAGGCCAGCACCTTCGTTGCGAAGCGATTTAATGCCTTCAGTGTTGCCATAACCGACTTGTTGATACAATAGTTCGTCCTTAGATTGCTGTAAACCCATCTGATAAGAAATTTTATAAAATAATTAGGGTTTTGTGCGCTTTAATCAATTCCGATCCACCGACGAGATATTCAGTTGTTGAAAATCTCGGAGGAAAATTCACTCCTGACGAAGAATATTGGTGGCAAATTAAATATCAATGCGTTATCTTCCTCACGAAGAGTCAATTGCTCAACCGCGTAACGGATAACGAGTGATCAAATAATAATAACTAACGTTATACCCTACATCGGTACGTAGCAATCCAAAACTTCATAGATAAAAAAAGGAATCTTCATAAAAACTCAACAATTTTCTACCAAATTGATAAAAAAACAATAATAATAAAAATTTACGTTTTTTCTTTTTAGGGATAATGACTTGAAAGGGTAACAAACTTTCGATTTTTGTCACATTTAGTCACTAAACTTTTTTTCGTTATCTATTTGTCATTTAACTATTGAAACTGTTCACATTTTACCCTTATGACCGGCTGTTGTCGGTCATAAGGGTAAAATGTGAACAGTTTTAATAGTTTAATGGCAAACAGATAACGAAAAAAAGTTTAGTGACTAAATATGAACAAAATCGAAAGTTCGTTTCCCTCTAAAAAGTTTAATGACTAAATGCAAACAAACCTCCTCTTGTATTATGTTTTAGTAAATTATTTATTTTTGTTAAATTGTATCAAAATTAGTTGATGAAGAAAACTATGAAATAAAAAAAAAAAAAAAAAAAAAAAAAACCCTGAAAATATATTTAAAAAAAACAAAAAACCAAAACCGAAATAAAAAACCAATGGTTTGACATTTTCCGAAATAAAAAATCAAAATTTCCAATCTGATTTTGGTTTTACAAAAAAAAATGAACCATTCTCACTGATGTGAATTATGACCATTGGTTTGACATGCGAAATTTGTGACATCCCATGAATATGTAGTTACAACATCGTCTAAAATCGTAATTCATAGTAAGGGGTTAGAGTATCACCACATGAATACGTAGTTACAACATCGCATGAACTCGTAATTCATCACCTACAGGTTATTGGTCTGCTGGTGTTTCCACTGGGTTATCTAGAATAGTCTGTGGTCGTCATCTATACTCTGGTAGATGACTACATCGCCACATTGCTGGTAAAGGTTATGGTATCTCCTTTCATCCTACATCACATATTCATCATCATCTATTTACCTAATTATCACCACCTTTCTATCATCACCTATCTCTCATCATTTTATTTCATCACACACCAACTATTTTCTACCCATGTTTCATCCGCAACATATTTGTAGATATAAAATAAATATACCGTTTAAATCTTTTAAAACATGTATAAAATCGTTCATCCAGTATAGACAGCAAGTATTCAAATAATATACACACATAGCACGTAATTGATATAAAATACTTCATATCTATGTGTAAGATGAAAGTAATTATATATACCATAAATGATTCCTAACTTTGAACCCCCAAGGTTTACTCTACTAAAGCTTCATATTCTCGGCTCTCTGAACCTAGAAGGGTCCACATCTATCACACCAAAAAGCTCAAGATAGCTCTTCCTCTCACTCTACACACTCAAGCTCGCTAGGGTTCTCACTTATGGGAAAGGTAGTCACAATTGAAGGCCATAAATGCCTTTAAATTTGGCTCGAGCCCAAAGATTTAGGGTTTCTGCCAATAGCGCGAACTCGTCGAGTCCATTCATTAATCCGAGTCATCAGTCGCGACCTTACTCGACGAGTTGAGGCATCAACTCGTCGAGTCTCTCTTCTTAACTCAAAAGAAAAATACTTAAATGATGATACCTGGAAATCCGGATGTTACATTTTATTTTTTTATTTCATAGATTTCTTCATCAACAAATGTTGCTACAATTAAACAAAAATAAATAATTTTGCTAAAACATAATACAATAGGAAGTTTGTTCACATTTAGTCATTGAACTTTTTAGAGGGAAATGAACTTTCGATTTTGTTCACATTTAGTCACTAAACTTTTTTTCATTATCTATTTGCCACTAAACTATTGATACTGTTCACATTTTACCCTTATGACCGGTAACAGCCGGTCATAAGGGTAAAATGTGAACAGTTTCAATAGTTCAATGACAAATAGATAACGAAAAAAAGTTTAGTGACTAAATGTGACAAAAGTCAAAAGTTCGTTACCCTTTCAAGTCATTATCCCTTCTTTTTAAAGAGAAAGGCTTTTTTTAATATGAAAAGGACAGGAAAACAAGTAAAATATTTAACTTTTATACGTTTATGTTAGAGTAAAAAGTAAATTTAACCTTTATGTGTTTATGTTAAAGTAAAAAGTAAATTCGGTTGTTATGGTTTGTGAAAAAAATGTGGTTGAGGTTAAAAATGTTTTTGATTTGCATCACTGGTTTAAAATATAAATTTTTAGTGGTTTACGTCCCTAAAAAAAAGTTAAAATGTCTATTTTGCTATTTTTATTTCTTTTTTAATTTTTTTCTATTTGTTAGTCATATTTTTTTAATTTTTTAATTTTAAAAAACTAAAGTGTGTCCATCTCACCCTCACTATACCAGATGCATATTGTCTTTTCTTTTCTCTCAACTCTCTAGACTCCTTTTTCCTTTCTTTATCTCCGGCGAGACCTAACATCGTTGCTTTTGATTCTACCTACGATAGCAATTAACACAACCTATTTTCTTTCTTTTCCACCTTCTTTAAATAGTAGTAAAATAAGCAGCCCCTACTTCCATTGTCGTCTGATATGTGCATAATTAGTTAATTATTTAACATATATTCTTAGTTATTTTTGGTTAATTATGAGAATAATGTGGACAAAAGGTACTTAAAATGCTTTGAATTGTGTTTTCAGTCCAAAAGATATGCTTGGAGGCAAAGAGGAGAAAAGGGAAAGCAAGTGAAGATTAAAGAGTGAAAAGAAGGACCTACTCGGCAAGTAGATCGACCCTACTCGGCGAGTACACGACGATATGCTAGAAGATAAATACGACTGCTAATTCAAGACGGATAAGTATGGACCTACTCGGCGAGTTTATTCTGCTACTCGCCGAGTACCCTCTGTTTTGGGATATCTTTAAAAGACGAATCCTTATCACATGGGACAGAACTCCTGGCGAATTTTGAAGGATTAGCTGCGACTAAAAGGTTCAGAAGGCGCTAAGGAACCCTAAGCTTCAAGAGTTGGAAGAATTCAAGCAATTAGGTTAATTCTACCACTTAGACTTAGGAATTAAACATGTTTGCTTTCATAAACTTTGTTTTTATGCTTGTTTCTACTGCAACTATGAGCTAAACTCGTTTTTGTTTCTGTTTGGGGAATACCAAAGAACTCCTATGGTTTAATTATTGAATTTTGTTTAATTGTCTATTGGTGATTTATTAAATTAAGTTTGTTAAAGAACCTTATGTATTAATCACTACTATTTTCTGTTAATTGGAAGGCAATTAGGTTGCATGAACATCACTTAATTGTTAACCTCATATGTCTATGTGAATGCTAAAACGTATGCTTGGAAGTAATGAGTATGAAACTAAGATTAATAAGAAAATAGGAAGATTAATGTGTGAGCTTGTTTGAGAAACCATCAACAAGAGGTTAATTGAATTAATAACTTAATTGACCATTACAAATCTTATTTAATCCAAATAATTAATCTAGGGAATTAATTAGTTTAAACACTTGATCAACGCTTAAATTAGTTAATTGTCTAAGGGTTAGGAGTAATGAACATGAACCTAACTATTATCATTGGTAACCAATAGTAATTAATCTACCTTAACTTAAATAACCATAGGAGTGAATTGGTTGAACCTAAATAGAAACATCTTTATCAAATTTGGTGAATAGTTGTTGCTAGTTAATTAGTTAATTTAGTTTGTTTAAGTTTCTAGTCTTGCAAAACTAGAGAAAAACCCTTTACTTTTATTATTTGTTTTAGTTAAAATTAGCTATTAGTTTAATTACCCGTTCCCTGAGTTCGATACCTTACTTATCAATCTATACCACTTAAAGACAGGTTCACTGCCTTTGTGTGCTTAAATTACTAATAAAAAGTAGGGATAAAACTAGTTGAATTCACACACATCAAGTTTTTGGCGCCGTTGCCGGGGAACGGTTCTAAATAATTAAGCTAATTCCTAATTTGTTCGATCCTTTGTGTGAGTTTACTTGCATAAAGTTCATTTATTGCAATTTAGTAACTGGTAATTAGGTTTTAGTATATGTTTTAGTTAGGTTAAAAACTTAGAATTTTTTTTGAAAAATCACTGATACTCGCCGAGTGCACTCGCACCTACTCGGCGAGTAACAGTTTAGTTACAAATTTTTTTCTTTTATTTGTTTACAATCTTTTTGTTCTTTTTACGCTTTTTATTTGATTAATTTCAGGACTTTCATGACCAGAGGAGCAAACACACCACTGGTACCCCCGTTTGAAGACCCCGAATCCGAATTGAAAAGAAACAAAGGGAAGGACGTGGAGAGTTCAAGCACACCAAAGAAATCACCATTGTCCAACTTGAAGACTATTTTTGGGAAAAAGAAGAGCAGCAAATCAGGAGCTTCAAGCGCTTCCTTGATAATTGAGGAGCCAATTCAAGAAGAGATTAGATACGAAACCGAGGAAGAAGACAAGGCAACTTACGAACAAGAAACCGAATCAGAGGAAGAGTTAGCATTCACTATGGCTAACATTGATGAAATTCCCATGGGAGAATGGAAGAAGAGGATGCGCGACGACCATGGCCCGGGACTTGTGCAACCCGCAATTCCCGCAACTGCCACCTTCGAGCTAAAAGGTCATATCCTAGCTTCACTCAAGGAAATACCTTTCTACGGGAAAGATCATGAAGATGCCTACAAACATTTGGATGAAGTAAATGATGTTGCTGATTACTTCAACATTCCAAATGTCACCCGCGAAACTCAACTGCTTCGGATGCTTCCGGTAACCTTCAAGGGTGCTGCTAAAGACTGGCTCAAATCACTTCCTCCCGGGTCAGTCACTACTTGGGCCAGAATGAAGGAAGAATTTATTGATCACTTTTGCCCACCATCCAAGATAGCCAAGCTCAAGAAGGCCATTGCAAACTTTGAACAACAAGCTGGAGAGTCGTTATATGAAGCATGGGAGAGGTACAAAAGTCTGCTACGAAATTGCCCACACCATGATCTAAATAGCCAACAAGAAGTTTCCATCTTTTATGATGGAGTCAATGTCACGACCCGGCAGCTGCTAGACTCACAAGGCCCACTTACAAAGAAGCCACC